ATTATAATAACGGACGAAAAATAAATTTGTTGAATTGTTATCAAATGCAAGTAAAATTCAACTTAGTTTCACCGTAAGTGAATTATTTCGGTCACATGTAAACGATTGATGCGACACGACTTCCGCTATGTAGTTTGAATGCACACGAGACATTACTTGACCGGGTAGGTCAAGTCGCTAATTAACCAATCAAAATGCTGGATGGTGCCCACGTGTTCAAATTACCTTAGTTCATTTAAATATGTTAATGACAGGTGACCGACTGCATGGTGAACGTAACCCGGAAGCGATTTACCGATAATGTAGTGCAATATTTTGGCTTTGATTTTCATGGGAAAACGACACGACTTTTTTTTAAATCAAGAAATTAGTTGTTTTCGAAAGATAAACTGAGCATTGAAAAAGAATTTAACAGTTTTTCGGTGAGAACGGCTTATTGTCGAAAACTTGCGACACATGGACGTATTCATAAGGAGTATTGACAAAAGTTGTCACAAGACAAAAGCAGTTTCACTGCGTGTTTGACATCCTAACACTACTGAACAATAAAGAGGTGTGAATATTTTTAGGCACGTTGTCCAAACAAATGAATAGGTTTAGGAACAATGTACCAGCTGGATGAAACAAAGTCGGTCACGGTCTTGTTGAATTGGGGGTGTGGTTAGCAATAGGTACTTTTCATGTTTTCAATTTTTGTTGAGAACTCTTTAACACTGAAGCCGAAATCGGGGGTGCGGTTACTATTAGGTATGTGGTTTATAATAGGATTTTAACGGTAGCTACTTAATATGCACAGACATGGCCTCCAAACCAAGTCAAATCATGTCTGCACAGTATTCCAAAGTACCTAAATACAGATAGGATCAAAATCTGCTCATAAGTTTTGAGATTTTTGCATAAAAAAATTAGATAATTAATATGCAAATTAGCTACTTAATACACGCCAACATTTTTTTCCAGGATTTCTTACGATTTTTTAAAGAATGCGTAGGTATATACCAAGCAGATGGTGTACTCATTTGGAAATCCTTGGTCACAGTAACTTTCCAATCACACTAATACCACTGGCATTAGCACTTAATTTGGTTAATAATCCAAGAAATTGTACTTTTATAACCATAAAGATGTTGAAAAGCTTCACGTTTATAATGGCTTTTCAGTTAATTTTTTACTTACAGCAGAACCTTGTGCAGGGATAGCAATACTGCCTTTGTTACGTTTTTTGTGGTCATCCATGTTAATCTGACGGACTTCATCATTTACTCCCTGCATGAATGCATCTAGCGGATCAACATCATCATCTTCTTCTTTCTTGGTTTCCATTTTTTCATCTTCGTCTTTACCATTCTCCTCAGTTTTATCAGCCTTGAATAATAAAAACAAAAGAGTAAACATTTTTACCTGTGGGGGCATACTTATCTATGGGGGGAAAAATATTCACTGACTTGATGTTGCAAGGATATCACTAGGTTTGAAATTCACTAGTTTGTGAAATAAAAAATATATTTAATTGTTAATTATGCATATTCACTAGGTTTTAAATTATTACATTTTGCTGTCAGTGAGAATAAAACTAACAAACGAAAAATAACACAGTAATTTATATCCAGAAAAAAAACACATTCAACTTAATTTTGGATTCAAATATTATCAGCAAATGTCTCACAGTACATTTGTTATCCTATTGGTTGACTTTAATCCAAAATCTAAACAATCAAAATGGCTGACATGTCACAGGGAATCAGTTTTATTGCAAGCTTTATTTATTAATGATTGGCAAGATAGATTTTGACGCATGTAATCATAGACATCCAACACAGTATTGAAACAAAAAGCAAAGTGCAAACACACATACCCCCGGTACTTAAAATATTGATCAACAAAAAAATTTTGCCTGATTAGTTCTTCAATTGATCTATATATTTTTTTGACCCTCATTCACGCATGTTTTGAGCCGTACTGAATTGTGAGGTGTTTTTTTAAGACAAGCTCCCCAAAAAAGAGCCATTCAAATATAATATTCTTCATCAATATGCAAAAATTGATTGATAGACTATTGCACATTCACAAATCCATTTGCTTCATTTTCATGAATATTCAAAAATTACAATAGCATTTAAATCCAAATACACATTCAACAAACAAAGCGTGAAATGTTTAAATGTTATTCCATAGACCAAAAGAAATCTCTTATTTCAGTTTGAATTGAATAAATATATATATAAAAATCAAAAAACAAAATACCTTTCCTTCTTCTTCTTGCTGCTCTCCTTCATCATCATCAGACTCGTCTTCCAGACTCCACTGTTTTTTTTGCGGTTCAGGCTGCGTTGGTTGGCTTGCTTTCTTTCTCTCTAATCTCCATTTTTCGATGCGCTCCCGTCGACGTTGCATTTCTTCTTCTAGTCTCTTCTGCTCTAACTCCTGAAAAATAAAATACAGAATAATAATAATATTTTTTATTAATGGAAATACATTAAACATGGTCAATAATCATACACAAAAAAACACAATAACAAGAAATACAGATTTAAAAAATAAAATGTTTAAACGGATAGCACTAACAACTATTAGGTATTACATTGTAAAATTATGTTAATAAACTTTCCTAGACTATTGGCAATGAATCTTTTATTCCCATAATATGCTCAAATATATCTTCTTTTGGTAATTTTATAATATTATCATTGTATAATGATAGAGTATTCCAAAAGTAGCTACGTGCCTTTACAATTTCATCCAGCATGCATCTCATCACCAACAGACTGATCAGAACACAGTGTGCAAAATCTTTGCTCTGAGGGTATTTTTTGGTTTCTTAATTTTTCAATTGGTAATTTATGTGCTGAAATTCTAAATTTGGTTACACTTACTCTGTGATTTAAATTAATATAATAATATGCGTCCCACCATATCTAACCATATTTACTCTATTGGAAGCACATCTCTAATAGAACCAATACCAACAACAAAAAATGCATTTGTTGCATGCTGGATCATTGAAATATGATTTATTTTGATCAAAAACAAACCTGTGTCATTTATGTGAAGCAATTACATGACATACTACCACAAAATCAGAATCTCTGGTAAGTTCAAAGAGTTTGAATGCAATCATTCCTTCAATGACTGAAAATGGATGTGACTACCGGTATGTTCAATGGAACCACAGATACAACAGAATTTCTGTTAAATGCTTTTAATTTACATTTTTTGCAAACTCATCAATTAGAAACCAAAAAATTATGTAGTAATGAAAATTTCACTTAAAACAAGACACGAATCTCACCATCCCTGTTATTTAATTATAAAATACGCATGTTAAAATAATACATGGAACATTTGCAAACAATTGAATTAATATGTACTCTATGTGGGTACAACTAATCATAAAGTGATTTCCCTTAATCTGATAACTGAAAACTTTCATTGACCCGGATCCAAAATCTTAGAGTACACAAGCGCAACCAAACTATGTCTCATACATGCTCAAGAAACTGCATTCATAAATCTGAGTAAACCTTGATGTACCTTTAATAACAACGTGACTTCTTCGTTTGTTTCAGTATCACCACTACAATTCCCATCAAAATGTAGCCCTGACACCCCTCTACATTTTCTACTGAGATTGTCACTGATTCAGATCATGATGAGGTCATGACATCACTAAAAACCCTAGCATTACAATCTCAGCGAATTATTCATTCTGAGTATGCTCAGTTGTTCTCTCAGTACAGTAGAGAGCGATAATTTTAGATAGGATTTTCAGATCTGGAAAAAAAAATTACGTGCATATTCAACAGAGACTTGGTCATCATCCTGCCAAGTTTCATTGATATCTGCTGCATAAAGGGGGTGGTGAACAGGGACTACCGTACTCGACCGCGTTAGCGCCCATGCCCAATCTCCCACTTCTGCGCACTTTTTCTATTTGGGGTCACATTCGGCAAAGCGCCCACCCTTTCAAAATGCAACTAATTTAAAACTTGGTCTTGCACAACGAATGTAGGTAATCGTTTTATATATGATACAGCGTGGATATCGACCGCTGTGAATGCGTAGACCACGGTAACCATGTGTAAACTATGCTACAACAATGACCTGTTAATTCAAGTAAAATGCGGTAAATATTTCGATCCAACACCTTCGTCAGTGGAGATAATGATGAGAATTTTGACTTTGACTGTGTTCCAACAGACTCTAATGTTTTTAATTTCGTAAATTCTCGTGGTACGTAATATTGTAATAAAATGTGCATATTTTTTGTGATCATTTCTGTTTCTTCATTGTGAAAATCAATGAAGACGCAACTAATTTCGTAATTTGATTTTCCCTACTAATCTGTCACATAATGAATCAAAATTTTCATTTGCACTCTTTTTCGAGGGGGGGCTCGGGTAAGAGCCCACCCCTAAAAAATCATGATTTTCTGAGTTGAGGCCCCTGGGCACTAACGTGGTCGAGTACGGTAATTAGACTGAAAATTACAGTGACTGTAATCAGTGGAAGGCATTTTGCATGTAAAATCAAGTGGGAATATAACTTTAAATCACTCATACCAAGGCTGGAGATCCTGATTTGTCCTTTTTGATTTTAGTCTCTGTATTTTTCGTAGGTGTTTTTGCTCGATGCTCTCTTTCTTTTATCCTTGAAGGACTTTTCCTGTCCTGTCTTCTTTCACGACTTTTGGATCTAGATTTGCGACGCTCTTTTGATTTACTTCTTGATCTCCTCCGTTCCTGTGGTCTAGTTTCAGATCTTTTATTTTCACGGTCCCTGCTTCTGGATCGTTTGTGATCCCGTTCTCTGCTTTTTGAGCGTCTGTGAACATGTTCCTTGCTTTTCGATCGCCTGTGATCTCGTTCCTTGCTTTTCGATCGCCTGTGATCTCGTTCCTTGCTTTTCGATCGCCTGTGATCTCGTTCTCTGCTTTTTGATCGTCTGTGATCCCGTTCCCTGCTTTTCGATCGCCTCCGTTCTCGTTCCTTACGTTCTCTTGATCTTGACCTTGACCTTCTAAAACACAAAACATGCAAAAATAAAACAATTTAGTAATACCACGTATGCAATTGTTTGTGAAGAGTGATTTTTTTTAATATAGAAGTTTTAATTTGCCAATCGCCAAAGTCAAAATTTGTCACCTTATACAAAATAAAACCTGCATACTTTTTTTTCATACTTAGGCAATTTCTGGTATCTCAAAAATTCAGATTTAAATTCAAATTATTACAATGTTTACAGGTTTTACTTTGTACCATGAATTAATCAGATCTTTCTTTTATCCATTGGAAAATTTTGACCAAGATCTGTAGCCAATAAAAAATTATATTCTTTTTGTCCAAAATGTTCAAAACAATAGATAAAATACATAAAGGCGGCGTAAAACTCATCACTCCACTCGGTTTTGTCTTATTTTTATTTAGCATGTCTGTAAATGAACACCAAATGACTGTTTTAGTTGTTGTGAGACTCACTTTGCCACATGTGAAAAAAATCCCTTACCTGAACTTTCTTCTTTCCCGTTCCCGTTCCCTTTCTCTTTCCAATTCTCGTCTTTCTCGTGATCTTGATCGTCTCCGCCTTTCATATCTGTCTCTTGATCTAGATCTACGATATCTTTCACGAGATCTAGATCTGCATCGATATCTGTCCTTTTTTTCCCTGTCTCGACTTCTGGAACGTCTTTTCTTAGATCTGCCCGGACTGGGAGATCCAGACGAACTTCTTGATGATGATCGAGATCTTTTCCTGTAATGTCTGTAGGTCAAAAGAAAGACAGAATTCACATAAAATTTGCCTAATTAACCAAAAATAATTGTGATGATTAACATGCTTGACCGAGCATGGAAATCAGTGCCTACATATATTATTTAATTAAACATTGGTAATTCACTTCTGCTTTACAGGAAAATGCCATCATCAATATTCAAATACTGTAGAATACTTTATTTTCGCTTGGAATTTATTTTCGCTATTTTCGCTGAAGGGATGCTTCAGTGAATATACTTTTTTTCCTATATTTCACATATTTCACATGCAACTCATCAAAAATCAGCGAAAATAAATTCCATACAAAAACCCTGAAAACCTTTTTCAGCGAAAATTAATTCCAGCTAAAGTATTAAAGTATTTCAACACACCATTCAGGTTGTTGATTAATAACAGACTTGACCTGACAGTATACATAGCATTGTTGCAGGTCAAATTGTTTAAATAAGAAAATAAAACCTCTGATGAACAGACAGAAAAATGATGATCAATTTCAATGAATCCTTTTAAACATTTAAAGTGTAACTGAAATGGGACAATTGACTTTTTTTGTGTGCAAAATTTATTTATAAACAACATTATGAAAAAAAATCAAGTGAAAAATGTACATAAATTAAATAAACGATCAATAATAATGTTCTGGATAAGGAAACATCCACGTCCAATTTCTTGGCCGACTCAGAACGAGGCTTCAGCTAGAGAACCTAATTAGCATACAAGGTGATTTGTGACGTCACAGGGGGAACTTGTC